CACACAAAAAAAAAAAATCTAAGTCGAAAAGTCATATATATATAATGTATTTGAATTGTTGAATCCCCTTGATATATCATGTAAGGGAAACTTATAGTGTAGTTGCAAAGGTGGCAAAAAATTGCTTTAGGTTGCAAGGCTGAATCTCAGCTGTTGTATTTGCATTCATTTAGTCCCCTTTTATTAGAACTCCTACTACCGTCACTGCATTTCATTGACTGGATTATATGCTTGCCAAAGTAGTACTATCACTAAATCTGCTTGTATATTGCAGCAACCTGATTCAGAAAGAGGCCGTACCTCGAGAAATGGAAGCTCTTCAAAAAGGGCTGCCATTTCTAGCAGCAGACCGAGCTCTTCTGGTGATCCCACCATCACTGATAGTCGCTCGAGCAGACTAGTGTCAAGCAATGGCCGCGTGTCAACCACACAAAGAATTCATCCTGGCATCGAACCAAAACCATCAGCATTCTCACGTAAGGGGACACGTGATGACCCTCTTCGGAGCTTTGAGTTCCTTTCGATCAGAAAGTAAATGGCATGCACTTGTAAAGAGAGAATTTCCTGTTTGTTTGGAACATTGCTATCCTATTTACGGATGTCGTTTTAAGTGTTGTATATTGAAAATGTTCTATGTGACAACAAAAGCTTATCCAACTTTCCATTATCCCTTTGTTTTGGTTTTGATTTAGAGCTTCTGGCCATTGTAAAAGCCTTTAGACTCATCTAAAGAAATGATGAGTAAAAAGTGCTAAGAGTTTTATACATGTACACTCGGATAGATGTAATAAATATTATTATTGTACCATGAATGTATCTTTTTAACTTATATACAAGTCTTTAGATTGTTTTGGAGAAGGAATTTCGTTATGGAAATTAAACTGACATTTGTAAGAAATGTGCCTACTAAACACTAAACCAACAATCAGTCCAAAAAACCAAATGTGATGTGGCAACCGAACCAATAAAGTAGAGACGCGTCAGCCGAAAAACACAAAAAAGCTGAAAGAAATACAGTCTAAGGGAAACAATCTGCAGAACATGAAAACTGTCCCAATAATATAGAATAGTTATCATGTAATTCTCTCATCTAACTATCCTACACAAAAGCACAAGGCAAACGCAAAGTTGATGAACTTCCATTTAGTTTTGCATTCCTTCAGAATATGTACAACAATATGTTACTAATATAAACACGCCAAAATATGACAAAGCTGTATTTGTAACCAGCCAACCTCCTGGTTGTTATCGCTCCATCAGTCACCTAAGAAACACGCTGTATATAGTTCTTTAGGTGGTTCACTCATGAAGCTTGGGCCAAGTTGAGCTTGCAACCACTTTAGCAAACTTGCAATACAATTCAACTTAGCAACATTCTGTGAATGCCAGCAAAACTGCAACGTCAAATTTCCAGGACATGGTCAGTCATAGTACAATATTAAATTTAGCCAAACAATTATTGTTGTAAAACAAGCTCAGGGGAAGGATTTTCACCTCAACTGTTTTCTCTAGTGTCATTCTCATAGTTATTCTTCACCTAATGATTTTATAAGACTGCGAGGCGAATGTGCCCAAATTGGAAGATCAAAAAATGGTTGGTTTACCCTTTCTTCTGCTGCAGTGCATAGGGCTTCAGCAACATCACAGCGCTTTAATACATTGCAAATTACATCTTCCTGAGCTTCAGCCTAAGTTAAGTGATAACAACCAAGTTAGAGAGCTAATGAGATATAAGGAATTTCATTGAAGTACAAAAATAAAAAGTTGCAGCATAGCTGTTGCAGCAACATCCCTGAAACACCCAGAAAATATAAAAAAATCTTAAGGGCCATATTTGCCCCTTTTTTGATTTGCACCGGGTGTTCGAGTCTCTAAGAGCCCCGACTAATCCCGCGAGTGCACAGGCCCTCGGCAAGGATATTCCCGCAAGTGCACCACGGTTAATTTAGATTTTACCCAATCCGATGACCCTTAGAAATTGTTTGCACCCAGTGGGTTTCGAACTTGAGACCTTGAAAGGGAGGCTCAAGTCTTAATATCGAAAATAAGCTACATCTACCCTCCATTTCAATTTCTAAGTATAACCACCCTATCGTAATACATTTGGATCATATTTTCCCCAAAAAATGCAGTTTGTATCTATAACGTATTATAGCAGCTTTAACAAACAATTTGCCATCCTTACCTGCTGTCCAAATCTGAGTGTCAAGCCTATTGGCATCAAGAATCAGAGGTTCCTAATAAAGCAATAATGGACTAACTTCATTTATTTTCCAATCATTGAAATTTCTCCTGAAATTGAAATTCGGAACTGTCCCAGTATAACATTCAGCAACTGTACATTGTCTAGTTAAACTACACAAAATAAGGAATATGTCCAGCAATCTTAATTTCCCAACAAAACATCAGTCCACAACCTGATTTTTTTTCCATTAACAAGTTCCAACCTTCAATTTGACATTCTGACCCTAGTTTACAGATCATTCATTAGTACTACTGTCTGCATTAACACTGAACAGAATACTTTTGGCAAGGTTCGCTTATATACCTGAAACAGCTTCAAAAGCTAACAGAATTCCTCTAAGATGGAGAAATTGTTCCTTATCTGCTTCACACAATAGTAGTGTGTAGTCAGCATAAAGATTATCTGAAATGATCATCCTCTTATTACCACTCCTTTCAATCTTGAAACCTAATTCACCCTGT